TCCTCATCCTCTTCGTCCGACCCACCTACGCCGCCGCCGCCGCCGCCCCGCGCCGCGGCTTTCCGCGGCCGCCGCGCTGGCAGCGCGTCCCCTAACAACGCCTCCGCCTCCGCCCGCGCAAGCCGCCCGCCGCGGCCGCGCCCCCGCCCGCGCCCGCGCCCTCGCCCGCGCCGCGGGCGCGCCTGCTGCTGCGGCTCAAAATCGTCGTCGCTCGCTCCAGGCTTAGGCTCCCGCCGTGGCGCCGCCGCCCCGTTACGGGGCCGCTTGCGCCTGCGCTCCCGCGCCGCCTCACGCTCCGCCTCGTCTTCCTCATCCCCCTCCTCCTCCTCCTCTGCCTCTTCCTCTTCCCCCTGCCCCACCTCCTCCACCTTTGTCTGATCAGCTTCCGGAGGCGCCTGCTGCGGCTGCACCTCCTCCGGCAGCGCCTGCGGCACCCGCGGCGAGCCCGGCGCCTCCGCAGGCTGCTGCAGCAACGGCTCCTCTTTCCGCTCGATTTCGAGCTCCATCGGCGCCGCGCCCGCCTCCGGCCCGCCGTCGGGCTCGCCCTCGGGACCCTGCGTCTGACACGCCTCCTCCTGCTGCTCCTCCGCAGCTGGTGTCGCCTCACACGCATCAGGCGCCGCTGGAAGCGCCCCGCCGTCAACAACGGCCGCCTCGCCCCCCTGGCCGCCGCCGCCGCCGCGCCCGTCGGCGTCGCGCGGCGCCGCGGCGGGCTCGCGCCGCTGCTGCTTGCGCGGCCGCCGCTTCTGCGCCGCCGCGGCGTCGCGGCCCCTGCGGCCGTCCTTTGACGCCGCGCCCCTGCCTTTCGGCTTGGCGGGGCGCCGCTGCTCGGCCTCTGCCTCCGACCCCGACGCCGCCGCGCCCTCGCGCCCTTCGCCGCCGTCAACGGCGGCGGCGGCTTGGGCGGTTGTCGGTGCAGCGTCGGCGACGGGGCCGTCGGCCGCATCCCCGTTCGCGCCGATCGGCTTCACATCGGTTTGCTCCTCTTGCTGCTGCTCCTGCTGCTGCTGTAGCTGCTGCTGCTCCTGCTCCTGCTGCTGCTGCTGCTGCTGCTGCTGCTCGCGTTCCTCCGCTCGAGGCTCGTTTTTGACCGCGACCAACGGGCCCTGCCCCTCATCGCCGCCGCGCGGCCCCTCTGACGACGCCGCAGGCCGCGCCCCCGCGGCCACGCCTGCGCCCTTGCCCGCGCCCTCCCCGCCCCGCTGCTGCCTGCGCCGCTCCGCGCCCTCCGCCATGGACACGGGCGCCGGCGGCGGCGGAGGCGGCGGGGGCGCGTCGCTGTCGGTGCCGGCCGCGCCGCTGCGGCTCTGCTGCTGCTTGGCGCCGCTGCGGGCGCCGGCGCCGGCGCGGCGCTTGGCGGCGTGGGCGCCCGCCTTAGTCGCCTTGGGCTCCCAGGCACCTTCCCCCTGTGAGCGATTACGACAGGCGACATGGGATCGTTTCGCCGCCGCCCCGCTCGCAGCACAACGGGCTGCACACACACATAACTGCTGCCCCCCCCACACACAACCGCTTGAAACCGCCTGCAGCTGCGCATAACCGCCGAAACGTCCCAACAAACGCCCCCAAGCGCTCGGCGCACCAGATACCGCCAGTCTTTGCCCTTGTAGCTGCCGCGCCACAGCCGCGGGCTGGCCTTGTCGAGCCACACCGGGCCGCCCTCGAAAGCAAAGCCGGTGTACTCCAGCAGCACGCGCCCGGGGCTGCCCTGGATATCTTTCAGCACCTTGGCCCGGTACCAGCGGCCTGGGGGGTTATTTTTTGAGGGGTTGCGTTTCGAGGCGAACATATTGAAGGGTTCAGGGGGTTCATAAGAGCTCGCGTTCTGAGGGGTTGCGTGCAGCGTGCGGCTTGGTGCGAGGGTGGCATGCTGAGAGGCAGCGCGTCGCCGGCTGTCAGACACTGGGCGGATCGCGCGCGCGCTTTGGGCGGCCGGGAGCAGCGGGCGCGGCCGACGCCGGCCGCCCGCCAGCCGCCCGCCGGCGCACGCGCACGTGCCCTTGCGCGGCGTCGCGCATGACGGCGAACCCCACCTTGGAAATTGACCATAGGCAGCTTTGGGATCTTGGGCGGCTTGGCCCCCGGCTGCAGCACAGGGTTCTGGGCCACCCCCGCCGCGCGCCCGCCCCGCCCCTTCCCCCGCGCGCGCCCCGCGCCGCCGCCGCTGTCGCCGCTGGCGTCGCCGGCGCTGCTGCTCGGCCGGCCGCCGCCCGACGACGAGGCGGGGGTGCCCGTGCCCGTGCCTGTGCCTGTGCCGCCGCCAGACTCCGAGCGCTGCAGGGGCGCACGAGATGAGGGGGGCATAAGCTCAGGTGCGCTCAAACTTCACATGGAGACCACGCCGTGCGAACGGCGGCTTGCATCAATGCGCAATGCGTACACATGTGCATGCATGCATGCACACACGAGTATCGGGGAAGGATGCATGCATGCATGCATGCATGCGTCCCCGATACTCGTGTCGTGTGCATGAATGCAAACTGATGTTGTGTGCATGGACGCATTCTCGTGTCGTGTGTACAAATGCATGCATAAACACGCAACAAGTGCAGGGGTTCATTGCGACGGCGAGCCGCCACAATCCCAAATGACCGGCCCTCGCCGCCCGCATGCGGCGCAGCCCCTCACCCTCGCTTGAAGGTGCGGCGCCGTGAGGTGTTTGTTGACCGCCTTGACCGCCCCGCCCCGCCGCCGCCGGCCCACCCCAGCCTCCTCCACTGCCTCAACGTCGGCATCACTGGGAGCCTCATGCTCCTCCGACTGCACCTCCTCCCCTTCATCGTCGTCATCCCCGCCGCCACCCCCTGCACGCGCCCCGGACTCCTCGCCCGCGCCGCCCGCAGCCGCCGCGCGCCCGCCGACGCACTCGCTGCTGCCCGTCCGCCGCTGCTCCGGCTTGCTGCGCGCGGGGCGGCCAAGGCCCGCGGGCAGCAGCTGGGTATCTGCCAGGTCGGAGCTCAGCAGGGCGAGCTCGCGGCTGACGCGCTTGTGCGCCGGCGCCTTTGCCGCCCCGCCGCCTTCCGCGCCGGCGCGCCGCGCCGCGCGCCCGGCGTCGCCGTCGCCGCCCGACTCGTCGGCCGAGCCGTCGTGCTGGCGG